CCAAAAATATTTAATCCTTATACCTCATTTGGTAGAGGTGACGTTTACGGTAAGGTTCCCTATGTACCCGGTTCGTTCACCTTCTCACAAGATATCCAGTAAGACAATCATTTCATTCATTCATTAACCAAGTAATTTTTCATTCACCTTTAATTTTCACTTTCACAATTTAATTATAAATCACGCAAGACAAGCAATACATGCATCAAGAAAACACAATTGAATCATCTTAACAATTCTAGTGTAGTATCATGCATTTAAAACTGTAAAATCAAACAATCAATTAAAACAAGACAAACAAAAATAAATAACTTGTTCCGGCTTCATTAGTAACCTGTAATTAATTATCAAAATTTTCTAAATTACGCAAAAATATCGTATTATTTATAATTAGACTTCAATTTCATAACAGGGAATAAGGTGAGGGATTCTTACCCGAATCAATGTTCGATACATCGAACTTTTAGTTGTGCCTACTAGTGGTCCCCAAGTTTCCTAAATTTTTCTGCGGAGATTAAAACACGTTTTTTGTACCTAAAAATGCCACAATTAACCCAAAATCGGTATTAAAAACCTTTTTCAGCCAACTTCAGAATTTCGGCACGGCGTCACCGCCATGTTCCAGTGACGGCACTGCCGTTCGTAGTGGCAGTTTGCCTCAGCCTGGCCATTTTCGGTCAATTTTAGTCGGTTTTAGTCGCTTTTATACCTATCCCTGCGAGAAACATGTTAAGGGGTCTCCGTTGACCAAGAAAAAAAAAAAACTTACCAGTGGCAAGATTTTTCGGTGCGGCGGCTCTGCCAGCTCACCTTCGTGGCTGAGCATTTTTCTTTTTTCAACTTGTATAAAATGAGATAGTGAACATAATGGTGGAAAAATTGCACGAAATGGGAATTGGGAAGGGGCTCATCGGATGTAATTTTTAGTTTTGCCTGCGGTAGCGCTGCCGGGCTTTACCCATGGTTTTTGGTTCATCTGCCATTTCTTTTACTTTGATTTGGTCATGGGAGTGTTCAAAATTAAATTCCAAGCGAACATGAGAATTTTTACCTTTTTTGGCGATTGGAGGTGGCTTTAGCACGGCAACGGGCGATGGTCGGCTCCCTTATTCAGTGACTGGTTCTTCTTCTTCTCCGACGGGAGGTTGGCGGCTTGAGTTTGGATTTAGTGTGAAGTGAGATATTTATACCCGTCTTCCTTAAATATGGATCGTTCATCGCGTTTCATCTCGATCGTTCATCGCATTTAAAGAAGAAATGAATCTGGACCGTTCATTAGAATTTGATCTGGACCATACGATCGCTTTAAAGAGGGAACGAATATGAACCGTTTATCGCATTTAATTGTGACTTTTCGATCACGCCTGAGGAGAGAACGGATTCGAACCGTCCACACGCACGAAAATACATCCGGGCCGTCCGATCGCAGGTACGTAGATGACTAACGTGACCTCCCATGTGGCACCAAGTTAGCGTGCCGGGGCTGCTGAGTAGGCGGTCCTACGTGACATATTTTTTTTAATTGTGTTTTACCTCTAGTTTTTAAATTTTCTTTCAAAAATACCAAACGAACCTAAATTTTTACCCTTTTTTTCAAAATTATTTTCAATTTCATCTTTCACCTATTTTTTCCTAATTTTACATTAAATAAAAATTTATAAATTTAAAATTTATATTTTTATACATATATTTCTTTAATTTTAAAATTAATTCTGGGCCAAATTTCGGGCCCGGGTATTACAACTCTCTATCTCTTAAAAGAAATTTGGTTTTTCAAATTTGTCTCTCTCTCACTCAATCAAACAGTTGGGGATACTAGGCTTTGAAATCTTATTCTAGCTCCCATGTAACATTTCTCTGTGTGTGATTCTGTCATAGGACCTTAACGAATAAATTTTTTCAATTGCGAAGTACTCTGCTCTTTCAGTCCA